GTTGTTGGTCGGCGATTATAGACCACATGTCAATGAAGTCTTGTTCTAATATTTGAACTACTTCCTTATTGTATCTCTAGTGGATTAAGTACAAGAAAGATAAAGAAATGTGTTCCGAGATATGTGGAATACAACAATCTCTCAATGATTAGTAACAGCAGCTACATCGTGTTTTACACTTTAATCCGACAGAGATTGCGTTAACAGCTTCAATCATTTAGGTCATGAGTACATCAAATTTTCATTTCCATGATACATAGGTGAGACATAGTCCTAGAAATGATTTCGACTAAAGTCAACATAGTTTGGAAAAGCTTGTTAGCTCTATCTCTTTGGGACCGAAATGTGAAACTTACATATGTTATTTAATCTCAATAAACTAATACAAAGTAGATGAAGTGAAAAATCAGTCATAGACTATAGTTCTGTTCCAACATCATCGATCAGCAAAGTAAAAATTTGTCTTTTTTATTTCGAACAGAATTTTTTCTTTTATTTTTTTTTCGCATGCTCTATTTTTTAAGAATAGAATTTAATAGCAAATAAGTCTGTTGTACATATCCATCAAATCTACAGTAGTAGCTCTTAACGCATTGCTATACATCTCGATCAACTCACTGACACTGATATTGATTATTATCCATAATTCTAACTTGATTAATTCACACTTTTTATGTTGATTATATGATGACTGTGGCAAATCAATGTATCGTTACTCGTCATCCTTGACACCTTGAATATAAACTTTTATCTGTGCAAAACTCAAAATCTGCACTATTTAAAGCATTGACAAATGTATTCTAACCATTCAAATTTCGATGAAGACTGAAGAATTTTCTAGAGCAGTCAAACTCATGTTGTTAATTTCGGTTAGCTCCTTTTTTCTCTACTACTCTTGTCTGTAACTGAGGAGGAGGAAGTTTTAAAGTCTGTTATTGGAGGACGACATGTTAATGTCTGTAAAGGGGAAGAGGAGCCACAAAATTTTGACTTAAAATATACATTTACTATTTTCCTCGAAAGTATATGTGAGTTCCATAAAAAATGCCTTGCAAGTAACCATAAATGAAAACATAATTTCCGTATCATTGATCGGAAACTGTATTCTATTTCCCATCTAATTTCTTTTCTAAAAATAAATAAATAAATATAAAACAGAACAACAACGACAGAGTCTAGTTAGAATATTCTACTAACATAAATCGTCATTCAAGACAGAAAACTTCAACAAGCATCAAGACAATACGATACATACATAATGAATAGCACATTTCCTACAACTTCGAACTAAATTACTGGACATGAGTACTTTCTGAGAAAATACAATCAATTCACATTACTCATTCTCTGATAATAGACTGCGTCTTTAGTCGATAAATTGAAAGAGCTCATTTTTTGAAAGACTTGTCTGAAGATCGAATGGTCTAATCAGGAAATTTTAAGAAGAACACATTGATTTTGTCGCAAACGCCATCATATGCAGAACTTCAAATCGACATATGTAGGGTTTCCAATAGTTTTCAACAATGGTACGGCATAAAAATTCGATAGATAGTGCCTCATCTCACTTTTCGACAAGTACTGAATATAGAATGCTAAATTTATCGCTCTTCTACGAGTTTTATTGATCGAAACTATTCTAATTGACTTTCTGTCAAAAACAAATGGCAAATAGTGTTTAAAATAGAGTTTCTTCTAGAATTCATCGCGAGACTTGCAAAAATTTGTCCTTCAGTATTAGAAATTTTCATAAAAAGTCAGATGATTTACAGTGTTTGGCAAGGAAAAGAGCCTCATCTCGCCTCCACTTTCTAATCAAGAAGCCTGAATGTATGATATTTTAATGTTTTCAAATATATTTCACACAAGCACACGAAAATATGATAAATGAATCGAACATCAAGGAAAAGACATAATTCAAAAATTATCCTTTCTTTTTTTGTTCTCTTAGTTATTCCCAAGATGTAGTACATGTGATTAAACTTTCAGTTCAAATAATATCCAATAGTTCAAGGATATTCCTTGTACATGTTTCAATTTAAAAAAATGATAGATTCAATAACTTCCACCTCCCCGTTTGAAGAGAATTCCATTAAATGTATTTTTTTATGTTGAAGTCAATTCATAACAAGCTGTCAGTGCATTCCTTATGGGACTAAAATGTGAAACATGAAGATTCTTGTCATATTTAACTTGATTGGCCAGCAAGGTAAGGAAGAATCATTTCTAATAGTCACCGATTGCCTATCATAGAGGCTAATATGTCGCATTACGAGAGTAATCTAAATTTTTCAAATTACAGGATTTAAAATGAATTCGAAATCTAAAAGTTTGGAAGTACGAGATTGGAAAATTCTACACTGAATGGTTCAAAAAAGCCAGAATTCCATGGTTCGAAAACCCATAATAGAATGCGATATGTATGTCACAGTTTGTGGGAAGAAGAAGAACGAATTTTGGATGCAACTTTCTCATGATATACTTCAACACTCATTTCCAACCTTGTTTCATAAGAAAACTAAATTTTTAATGAACAGCTATATCCTAAATATGTATATATTTCTGTAAAACCGACATTGTCATCGTACAAAGTGATTCTTAAACATCATACCTTAAAGAGATTAATTTTGGCAATACGGTGTTTGCTTTTCTTCAAGATTTGAATCAATCGAATACACCAACCTAAAAGAGAAGGAGGCATCTTAATATATTGCAACATCTAAGAATACCTGGTGTCACAATATGAGCATCATTCAATCTGTGTTCAACTTCTACAGATGAAACCAATGAGATAGTGGATACATGACTAGTTTTGTTATCAGGATCTAAAAAGAATGATTCGATGAATAGTATTCTTAATGAATACAAAGGAAACCATTTTTTGGTAATACCTTGTTGTGTTTCTGCAGAATCAGCCTTCATTTGTGTTTTTCGAAGAAACCATCCATATATATATTGACTAAACTTGACAATTAATGGTGCTATGATACGAAGAGCAATAATGAGACCTCCATACCAACCAATGAGCAAAGTTAGTGCATAGATGAAACTATTGTATTGTTCCACCTTATAAGTACATTCAATCGGTGCACAAAAAGTGAAATAACTAGAGAAATTCTTTGTAATATTCCAGTGATCGATTAAAAATTGATCAACAATGGACAGAATTGAAGTGTTCGGTGAGAAATTCAACATAGTTGAACTATTTAATGACTTAGGCCAATCACTAGCAGGTAGACTTGAAATCCATCTGGCTGTATTATTGAGACATGTAGCCGAAAAAAAACATTCGAGATTACTACCAAGGAATGCATCATACGGCATACATCCCACTTTCATTCCAGGAATGACAAAGACTGGTGGTGGATATGGATCCATCATTCGAAAGTAAGGACGTCGTTCGGTAGCCCAATCATAAATACCTGCTTTGTATATTGCAGTGGTGAGTGGCTTGCAAAAGAAAAAGTTCTTCGAGGGATCCTATTAAAAAATGTTCTCGATTATAATAGTTCATAGGAGTATGAGCAAAGCATGTATGTGTATCATTCTCAAACTATATCAACTCCCAAAGCTATGATTTCGATAACGACTACTGTTCAAATTATTTGTTGGCTCAGTTTAGTGGCTAGTAAACCACTGATTGCAATGCTACTATCGAACTCGATAGTCAAAGACGAATTTTCAGAGAAGTATCTCAGATATTTATGTAACAATAATGAAGAGGGAAAAATTCAATAGAAATCAAATCAGTCCAAGCTAGAAGTAGAATCGATTGAGAAAATCCAAGTCGGTTCAGGCCAACTAGATCAAGATTTCAACAGAACCCATAGATCAGCAAATCAGCACCGGTAAAACTGTGTTAATTCTATGGAAAGATTGCTCGTTCTCATGCTTAATTTTTGCATGTTTTTATCTATTGTTAATACATGGAGCGTTTGTAAAAGATG